TTAAATCTCTTTTGCAGAACTTCAAGGACATGTTTCTAGAGGACATCCTTAATGGTTTACCACCAGTAAAAGGAATTGAGCATCAGATTGACTTCATTCCAGGTGCAACAATTCCAAATCGACCAGCATATCGAAGCAACCCCAATGAGGTGAAAGAACTTCAAAAACAGGTTGAAATCATGAAGAAGGGGCATGTGAGAAAAAGCATGAGTCCATGTGTAGTTCTAGTGCTACTTGTGCCTAAGAAGGATGGGACTTGGCATATGTGCATTGATTGTCGCACTGTCAACAAAATCACTGTAAAGTATCGTCACCCTATTTCTAGATTAAATGACATGTTAGATGAACTGCATGGTTCTTCATCCTAATCTGATGTAAAATTGATTTAAAAAGTGGGTATCATCAGATTAGGATGAAGGAAGGTGATGAATGGAAAACCACCTTTAAAACAAAACATGGTTTATATGAGTGGTTAGTTATTCCATTTGGATTAACTAATGCACCTAGTACATTCTGGCGATTAATGAATCATGTTTTGCGTGCTTTCATTGGCAAATTTGTGGTTGTTTATTTTGATGACATTCTGATATATAGTAAGAGTTTAATTGATCATATTGAGCATCTGCGAATGGTATTAGAGGTTCTGAGAAAAGAAAAGTTGTTTACTAATGTTAAAAAGTGTTCCTTTAGCACAAATTAGATTGTCTTTTTGGGGTATGTTGTTTCAATTGATGGAATTGCAGTAGAGGAAGAAAAGATTAAGGCTATTAAAGAATGGCCAACACCTAAGAATATTTCTGAGGTGCGGAGTTTTCATGGTTTGGCAAGTTTCTACCGGAGATTCATCAAGGACTTTAGCACAATTGCAACTCCATTGACTGAAATCGTGAAAAAAGGTGTCGGATTTAATTGTGAAAGTGAACAGGAGAATGCTTTCAATTTGATTAAGGAGAATTTAATTTTTGCACCATTACTTGCTTTACCTGATTTTACTAAAACTTTTGAAATCGAATGTGATACATCACATTGGCGCTGTTTTGATTCAAGAGCAACAGCCTATTGCGTTTTTCAATGAAAAATTGACTGATGCAGCACTTAATTATCCTACATATGACAAGAGATGTACGTAATGGTTAGGGCCTTAGAAACGTGACAGCATTCTTTGGCTTAAGAAGTTCGTGATACATACTGATCATGAGTCGTTGAAGCACCTCAAGGGACAAGGTAAGTTGAATAGACGACATGCTAAGTGGGTGGAATTCCTTGAAACATTTCCCTATGTGATCAAGTATAAGCAAGGAAAAGAAAACATTATGACTGATGCATTATCTCGTAGGTACACACCTATCTCTACTCTAAGTGTAAAGTTATTGGGATTTGAGCACATTAAAGAATTATATGCTAATGATCCAGATTTTGATAATGTGTTTAATGCATGTGAGAAGGCAGCTTCTGATAAGTTTTATAAGCATGATGGGTTCTTATTTAGAGTAAATCGATTATGTGTGCCTAACTGTTCATTAAGAGAATTGTTTAAGGGAATCACATGCGGGTGGCTTAATGGGACATTTTGGAGTTAGGAAAACTTTAGATATTCTGAATGATCACTTCTTTTGGCCACATATGAAATGCAATGTTGAAAGGATGTGTGAAAGGTGCGTAACATGTAAATAAGCAAAATCTAGAGGTTTACCACATGGTTTGTGTACTCCCTTGCCCATAACTACCAAACCTTGGGTTGATATATCTATGGATTTTGTTCTGGGCTTACCAAGGTCGAAAAGAGGTCATGATTCTATTTTTGTTGTTGTTGACAAGTTCTTAAAGATGTCACATTTCATTCTATATCATAAAACCGATGATGTAACTAATATTGCTGATCTGTTCTTCAAAGAGGTTGTTTGTTTACATGGTGTTCCAAGGACTATTGTTTCTGATTGTGATGTTAAGTTCTTGAGTTAATTTAGGAAGACCTTGTGGGGAAAGTTGGGAACTAAGCTATTGTTTTCGACTACTTATCATCCACAAACTGATAGACAAACAAAAGTGGTTAATAAGACGTTGTCAGCCTTATTGCGTTCTATTATTCCAAAAAACTCGAAGAATTGGGAAGAATGTTTACTGCATGTTGAATTTGCTTATAATCGGAGCGTTCATTCCGCAACTAACTGTTCACCATTTGAAGTTGTGTATGGTTTTAATCCACTCACCCCTTTGGATTTATTGCCATTACCCACTGATGAACGAGCTAGTTTGGATGGGAAAAAGAAAGCTGAAGTGGTTAAGCAAATACATGAGAGGGTGCGACAAAACATAGAGCGACGAATTGAGCAATAAGCAAATCAAGCCAACAAAGGGCGCAAGAAAGTTGTGTTTGAACCTGGAGATTAGGTTTGGGTGCATATGCGGAAGGAGTGATTCCCTGCACAAAGGCATTCTAAGTTGCAACCAAGAGGCAATGGACCATTTCAAGTGATTGTAAGGATAAACGACAACGCATACAAGTTGGAGCTTCTTGGTGAGTATAATGTTAGTGCTACTTTTAATGTTTCTGATCTTGCTACTTTTAATGTTTCTGATCTTTCTCCTTTTGATGTAGGTGACGATTTGAGGACAAATCCTTTTGAGGAGAGAGGGAATGATGGGAATCAAGATGACCCCACACGTACCACGTCAAGAGATCCATTACACATTCCAAGAGATTCAATCATAAGAGCTAGAGTTAGGAAGATGCGAGAAGCTTTAAATGGCCTTATTAAGCAGATTTGGGTTGATGACAACATGCAACAAGTAAATCAAAGCTTGGATGATTATCAGGGCATGGTAAACATCATTTAGATTCAAGAGAAGCTTAATTGAGGTCATTTATGCTAAATTACACAGTTTGCGTCAAAATCCCGTAATTTTGTCGCAGTTTGTAACAAACTACTATTTCATGTTACTTTAGGTTACTTTCAGTGATTTTCACGTTTTTTGTATTATTTTGGGCTGAACATTCATTTGTTTGAGGCCCAATTTGTGGTTATTAGGATTAGGGATTAGGGATTAGGGCTTAGGGTGTTAGTTTCCTATTTTGATTAGAATTAGTTTTCCCTATTTAAAGGGCTTGTAACCCTAATTGGGGGGGAAGCAATGGAATTTGAGTTTTTGAGAGACTTTTCTCTTTGGTTCATTTTAGAACTTTACAGAACTTTTCAAGATTATTCTTGTGGCATTCTAACCTGACTTATCATTCTCGTTCTTAATCGTTCGAAGGTGTGGCGTCAACCAACTTTATACCTCTGGTTCTTGTTGTGTCATAGACAACTGGTCAAGGTTTTTATCTTTGGTTCTTGTTGCAACATAAACAACGGGTCAAGGTCCTATTGTAAACCGGATTTGGCTTTCCTGGAGTTTAGAAATCCCTTGTCGTGTTGTGGGTCTCATTGTTCTTTTTGGGGTTCTCATCAATCTGTTCCAACATCTGCTTTTCACCCACCTCAGTCCAACAAACTGGGGTTCTACATTTTCTGCCATACAATACTTCAAATGGTGTCATTCCTACGCTAGAATGGTAACTGTTATTTCTGAGAAGTCAAGTGCACAAGCTCTTAACATATCTTCAAGAGTTTGAATTGTTCTTTCTGGTTGCCCATCCGTTTTTGGGTGAAATGCTATACTCATTCTCAATTGTGTGCCTATTGCTCTCTGAAATGACTTCCAGAATCTTGTTGTAAATCTGGTGTCTCTGTTTGAGATTATACTCACTAGAACACCATGAAGCTTCGCTACTTCTTTAACATAGAGTTTAGCTAAATTATCAAGTGAGTCATCCACTTTTGTTGGTAAAAAGTGTGCTAATTTGGTCAACCTATCAACAATTGCCCAAATTGAATCATGCTGCCTTTTAGTTTTAGGTAGTCCTCGAACAAAGTCCATAGAGATTGTTCCCATTTCTACTCAGGATAGAAAGAGGCTATAATTCTCTTGTTGGATTCTGATGTTCAGCTTTCACTTGCTGACAAGTCAGGCATTTGGCTATAAATTCTGCAATATTCTTCTTCATACCATGCCATTAATATTCTTTTTTCAAGTTTTGGTACATTTTGGTGCATCCAGGATGTATAGTAAATTTGGATTCGTGAGCCTCTTTTAATAAATCATTTTTCAATTCTACATCATTAGGAATACACAATTTATCTCCTAATCTGATCAACCCATTTGCAGCCATTCTAATTCCCATATTCTTCTTTTTTTCTTCATCATTTAACCACCCCTACAACTGTGCGTCACTTTGCTGAGCTTCTTTAATTTTGACCAATAGCTTTTTGGCTGTACTCTCAAACTAGTGATAATTAATCTAGGTTGCTATTGCAGTATCTTCGCATTCATTCCACTAAAATCTTCAAGCAACTTCCATTCAGTTACTAACATTGTTGCAAGGCTGCCTTTGCTTTTTCTACTAAGAGCATCTGCCACAACATCACCCTTTCTTAGCTGATAAACAATACTGCAATTGTAATCGTTCAAATACTCCATCTACCTTCTCTACCTCAAATTTAAATCTTTTTGGGAAAACAAATATTTTAAACTCTGGTGGTCTGTAAAGATTTCAAATGCTTCACCATATAAATAATGCCTCCACAGTTTAAGTGCAAATATAATGGCAGATAATTCCAAATCATGTACTGGGTAATTTTTCTCATGATTTTTAAGTTGTCTGGATCCATAAGCAATAACCTTGCCCTCTTGCATTAATACACATCTTAACCCCTTTAAAGAAGCATCTGTGTATACAGAAAATCTACCCTTGTTGTTTGGTAGGACTAGAATAGGAGCTGAAGTCAATCTTTTCTTTAATTCTTGGAAACTTTCTTCACACTTCTCATTCCATTCGAGTTTCTAGTTCTTCCTAATTAGCTGAGTTAAAGGGCCAGCTATTTTTGAATAACCCTCTCCAAATCTTCTGTAATAGCCAACTAAACCTAGAAAACTTCTCACTTCAGTGGTTGTAGTTGGTCTCTCCCATTTCACAATAGCTTTAATCTTGCTTGGATCAACTAAAATACCTTTACCAGAAAGCACATGCCCTAAAAAACTGACTTTATTAAGTCAGAATTCACATTTGTCTAGCTTGGCATATAATTTTTGCTCCCTTAATGTCTGTAGCACAATGGTTAGATGTTCTTTGTGTGCTTCTTCATTTGGTGAGTAAATCAAAATATCTAAATAAAAACAATAACAAATCTGTCCAGATACAATTGAAAAATTCTATGCATCAAATCCATAAAGGCAGCAAGGGCATTGGTTAACCTAAAAGGCATAACCAAAAATTCATAATGGCAATACATAGTTCTAAAAGTTGTTTTCAAAATATCTTCTGGTTTAATTCTCAACTAGTAATAGCCTGACCTCAAGTCTATTTTAGAGAACACCCTAGCTCCTTGAAGTTGATCAAATAAGTCATCTATTCTAGGTAGTGGATACTTATTCTTGATTGTCACTTGCTTAAGTTTTTTTGTAGTTAATGCAAAGCCTCAATGACCCATCTTTCTTTTTCACA